ACTGCGAATTGCACAATCGATTTATAAACTACGAGAAAATAGCTTGATAATATCAAGGAAATTTATATCGATACTCCAAGTAGCAATCTTAAAAACTATAAGTTTATTTCAATGAAACTATCCTTAAGAATCAATTTAAAAAATGATGAGCATAGATATGAAAGTGAATGCAAAAATCTTTAATATTATTTATGAAAATTTGAGTAAATAAAACGAGATTATATCAAAATAGCTGACCTCGAGAAATGTAAAAAGTACGCGGTGTTTATAATTGAATAAGGTAAAAAATACTGAAGTGGGTCGTAACGAAGCGGAACAAGAAGAACTGTATTTAGTATAATTGGCACGTTAATTCAGAAGAGAAACACTTCGCTCGGAGTAATAAGCTGGACTAAGAAGAAATTCCAGCTAATGAACTCTGATGTCATAACATCTCATCATCAAAATGATTTCCACCTATACATAATTAAATTTACAAGTAGAAGTGCTCCAGTTAACTTTTTATTTTACCGATAACGTTCACACTATCATCGAAAGAAGAGCAATTTAACTTATCTGATAAGTGGAATCAATCGATTTATAAACAAGATTAGGAGTATCTTTGATACACAGAGTCAGCGGTATGTGTTTTATGTGTTTCGATTTCCGTTGCTGACAGTCCTTTCCTGAAACAGGGCGCAAAGCCGGTAGCTTTTTAGTACCGAGCAATAGTTTATCCGCATATGCGGAAAGAGTATCTCGAAAGGGACGTGCTTCCAGATACTTAAAATCTACTGACTCCGTCTGTAATTTTATAGCATCTTTTACAAGTGTTTAATTCTCTTCCATTCACTATTTAAGAATAATTGTAATAAATAAAATAAATAAATAAATATATAAAATTATATTGAAAGCTTTTACTATACTGTCGTTATTGCTCAAGCTCTTACAAAGTGCTACACGAATCTTATTTAAATAACTAAGTGGCTCTCTCCTTTTAGTCCATCTTCTTTTTCCTTTAACGTTTCGAATTCGCAACCCAAAGAAAAGTTTAGAGTTTGCAAGGAAGTTTCGAAAGCATCGCATTTCGCATCCGAATTCAAAACGAAAGCTGTGACAAGGTACAGATTCTCCAGCTACTGAAGGTACAATGCCGCCGTTTACTATTACCGAAACCGTACAACTTTACTGCTGCGCAAAGAAAAAAACTACTATCTTGTAGATTTCTGAAAACGCGACAAACTCTCTAACACTTTGCCCCAAGCTGACATTTACATATTGGCTCGATTTATGTTTCAAGTGCGCGCATAAAGTGTTCTATTGATTCATTATATAGAAATGGAATAATTAACATATCTAATAATTATTTAAATAGATTTAAACAAATTGAATTGAATGGGAATGTTTACGTCATATTCTCAGAGCGTATCTTCATAAATAAATCCCTTAGGATTCTGCGGCTTGCACATACATATGTTAATGCAATTACATAAAACGCGAGGACTGTTGATAGAAATTATGTGAGGATTTAAATAATCGCTGCGGAACAATGAGTTTTTAATAATTTGCATACGTGTTAAAATGAGAGCTGAATTAAAATGAACACTTCTGCGCGACTCTTTGTATTGTGTGGAGAAAAAATTATGCTTTGGGTTTGGATTCATTTTTTCACAGGATTTAATTTCCGTTTACTATAACTATTTCATTCGTAATCCTAGTATTTGTTTATTCACGCACGTGCATAAGTTTAACAGTTGAACTGAAGTGGAAATCATCTATCGCAAATCAGTGTATGGCAAATCAATAAGTAAAAACTCAGTATGTGAACTAAGGGTAGAGGGTGGAACTGAACAAAACAAAACCTATATTTCAGGCGCTCGTTCGAATCGAAACGAAATGGCGTTGACAATCCTTGTACAATGAATCAGTAGAGTGCCTTAATAGCAGGGCTGACAATGAATTATACTACGCTCGGATAAGCAGGCTGAATCGTCTGATTACGCACAAAACTCACTCAATCCCATTGACATCCATTTTCCTCTTAATCTTTTTCGTTGAATGTACAATATTTTCTGATTTCGATTTTCCGAAGCAATAAAACTTCATAGAATACTTAAAAATATTTTATATAAACATGTATAAAAGCGTTGCTGAAGAAGATTTAAGCATCTTCTCGATTATCAATACATTTTGAAAATCAATTATGTAAATGCCACTGCTTTTATCCAATGCCATACTGTAACGATATCAAGCCTTCACATATTGATTGCCCTACTTGGCACATTGCGTTCAATTATGTAAGATATTTGTACACACATTTGACACAGCTTGGTCACGTGGCGATGTATGATATTCGAATTTAATGCATTCAACTCAGCGCATGTGCAAAATGATTATACATAACATGTGAAGAATCGTTAAACAATGCAAGTTAATTGTTAGCTAGCTTAAGAATAATTATGAAACAATTAAACCTGGAGGAATCACGCTCGGCAATCTTTCTAGGTGTACCTAATCATAACACATTCTTGCGCGCGATGGGAATATCATGTAGCCCGGCTGCGGCGTGCCAACAACAAACTTGCGAATCAGTCACGCGGGATTCTAATGACCGGGAAACGTACACACAGCCAGAGTAAACATGATGAACGCGCACACGAACTGTTCTCGGCCGAGAATGAGTACTTCTGGCCGTGGCCACCCTGAAGAAGCTCGGCACCAAAGGAATAAGTCAATGATCTTGCGGAAAGCAAGGCGCATTCGTGTGAAACTAGCGAAAACGATTTATGGAAGTTTCAGGGAATCGAAATGGTCAAGTGAAATATATCGCACAATTCGGATTAGACGCTAATGCTGCACTGTCAGCAGAAAATATTAGCGCGAACTAGAACGAATATTATTTAATTAAATAAGTCGTTCATAAATTACAATTACGCATTGTTCCGTCTATTGTTGACTCCAGACGAGAGGCAATAAATCAAAACAAAATGAAATTAAGCGATAACAAGAATTCATAAGCGAAACATTGCACGATGTTGAGAATGCATTTCATATCAAGAGCAGACCTCGAAGAACTGAATCAATTTCATAATAGATAACAAATATTATTCAATGTTTTCTTCCGTCATTTGAGCTCTCGGCATAAAGACAATCGGGCGAAGAAGTTCTCTCCATTGTTCTTCGCGATGTATTAAACGTCTCTTAAAGTGATTAATGACAATAAAACGGCATGATCTTTTATATTTCAAATGAAGTAATAGTTTTTGTGTGTTATTATATACTCGTCAAGTTGCACACTTTGGTATGTGTACAACATTACAACAGCATGTTAGTTATGTCACCAGTGTCTATGAGAATGTCAAGATATTATTGTGATAGCTGTTATATATGTAATTGATAATATCTGTAAGGTTTATTACAAGGCTATATTTACAAAACTTAAGTGTTAAATTATATTATATTATTCCTGTACATGGTAATACAATTTTGTGTTGGATAACGAAAGAAAATACAATTAACAAACTGATCAATGATAACGATCTTGAAATTATAAATACATGAATTATTTAGATATGATATTTATCATTGAATATATTTTCAAGTGCATAAGAAGGCGCTGTATAAACTATTGCATTCAATGTGCAATTGATCAATTGCACTTGACATAAAGTGACCGCTAATGCAGAAACCAAATGGTGCCTTCTATTGATGCTTAATGCGATATCTTTATACGCAATGGAATTTTAATGCAACACAAACGTTGATATGCATAGACCTTCGTAAAACAGAGAATGTAGTGTAATCTTACAAGTTAGCTTGTACAGCATACGCACAATATGGTCTGAATTAAATACATGATATATTGATGTTGCTTCGAAGTAAAACAAATGTAATTTTGTAGTACTTTGCACGTAATTGGTTGCCGATCTGAGCAAAATGTACAAAGAAAAAAGAAGTTTGATTGACATAAGAGTAAGCAATAATTTCATTAAATCAATGTCGTTAAAAGCTACGCTCTGGAGCTTTTAAAAATAATATGCTCATATTTCTTTAGCGACGAGTATTGTTACAACGTTATATAAAATTCCAAGTAAAAGCTTTGTTTGGCATTTGTCACGTTCCATAAAACAATACTGCACCGTCAGGAGCATTTGCATCATATTAAAAATTCCAATTAACTTTATGACAAATTATATTTATTAAAGTTCGAATTGTACATAACTTGTGCAAAAAGAGGTTTCAGTAAACGATCTTATGCATGGAATCCAAGAACAAGTAATGAAGCAAATTAAAATGACTAATGTTTTAAATTCGTGCAATTAACCGAGTAACTCGTATAACTTATGCTTTATTTCACGGCGTTTAATAATCTAGACAGCGTACAAACAAAGCATTAACAGTTTGTCATCCAGAACGGAGTGCGACGTTTTTTGTGTCTCTACAAAAATATGGCATCAGATAGTAATGCCCATTCCAGCGTATTAAATCAAACCGATACAATCAAAATGCACGAGATACACGAATAAATCAAATAAGAGAGAAATACTGTAAAATATAACTTTTGATAAATCTTTTCGAAGATAATTATTTTTTGGTTTTGAATTATTCTTGAAACATGAGCTTATAGATATCCTTTGGTAGAATCTACCTCGCGGCTTGAACCAGGGCAGTGACGTCACGACAGCTTTCCAGGCGTTCAATAATTACCATTGTTCTAAAGGGACGGCGCTATATAGCTTCAAGGAAGCAGAGGTAAATAAAATAAAGTAAAATAAAACGAAATAGCAGTCATTTGTCATGAAAGGCGTGAGTATAAATACGACGCCATTGTTAATACCGCGGACGTGACTTATCGCGTCGCGATGCCGCAAGAAGGCAGAAAAAAAGCACACGCTAAAATACAATGCGGAGGGCGCCCGGAAAATGTCATAAAAGATGAAAAGCTTAAAGGGGTTCGAATAAGTAAGCATGAGACCTTGAATTAACGATTTCATAATAAGCATCAACTGTAAAAATCTTACCTTAGGTTTTTAAGGAGGCTGGTGGGCTATGACAGGTCACGCCGATGAACTGAAATTTCCAATTTCTTTCTGAAAACAAAAATTACATTATTGAACATTTAATTAACACAGTAAATTTATGCTATATTTGCATTATTACAGTTATATGATCAAAACATTTGCAAGACATTATGCTCATAAGTTAACCGATTATAATTGTCATACTTCATAATACCAACAATACGTAAACTTATGTATCTGCTCGAAGTTTAGCTTCGGAAAGTAAAATAGACTTTGTCTACGCTAATTCCGGGATGAAGTGAACTCTAAAACTTTTGTTTCGCATCGAGTAAGAGAGTTGGCATTAAAAATGTGACTTGATAAAACTAAGAAATAAAATAAGCTTCGACAATAAATTTGAAAATAAAGCAATCAAAATATGGTGAATTTTTTATAACTACAACCAATTTTATGTAAATATGAATGAATCATGTAAAAGTATTTATATTACAACGGATGAAAATAATCCATATCTTTCCTAGTCGTGGCCTATTTTATGTATTTGTAAATATTGTTAAATATATTTACACAAAATGTGATAAGAGCACGTACGTAAAAATTATCGTAGTGCTTGACACGGACGGTAATTGTCTAGATAAGATAACATTGCGCTATTTCTGCGAAATGAGTATTTATGTTTCGGAGATTCATAAATGAGTGCTTATGAACTTCCTTATCCTTCGATAAAACTATTACTAGAACAATATTTATGCTCGAGGCGTCGAAGAATGATAAATGAATTGATCTTCGTACAATAAATTCTACGAAGATTGAATAACGATCAATTCAATTTCGTGCACTCTCTTCTGATGAAACTTTTGTTCGTCAACAATATTCAAAACAATTCCGTTGTACAACAAGTTACATAATAACATTCAGCGATTGTACTATTTAATCTTGAGTCAGTCTTGGTTTATACAAATCAATAACACGACATTCTTTCAGCATTCATCAAAAGAAGTCTCCAAACAAAGGCGAAGAAGCTTCTGCTCGGATTGCGCATCTTATAAATTATATATAACATTCAACCTAAGACATCTTATGGACATTTCAAACCTGTTCAAAACCGAAGGTACACCGTGAATTCACTTATTTATTCATTGCCCGTTTGCTCGGCCTGTCTCTAATACAAATAACAACATATCTGTAATTGAAGGGACGCTGCGAGTATTTATAATAAGCAAATCCGAGATCCGTTCCGAGTCTCAACCTCGTCAGCGAATGTATTCGCATTTAAATATAATATAGTCCGATATCAAATAAAATATGATTAAAAAATATACCTACATCATTTAATTGAATCGAATGAACGGGATGTACATGCAAAAGAAAAACTTGAACCAGTTTCTGTCGAATCTGGTTTAATTAACGATTGACGACGTACATGGAACACTGAGTATATATTAATACAGACATATAGGTATGCAGGCATGATCATCATACTTGATATTATATGAATTGCTTTGAAGTACACAAAACAAAAAAAAGGTTTTGATTGGAATCTTGAATGAATAATTATCATATTTTTACCAAACATACCTTTTTGCAAGCATGGAATACAGATGATAAAAATCCCCCAATACATTATGATATTTATAATTGTGAAATTATTTTAAAATACATCTCAAGGCATTCAGGAAAAGGTTTCATCTAATTACAAAGTTAAAACTTTGATCTTCTAATCCAGAATGCAGTATATGCATTCTTCCTTATTAGTTTTCTAATTGCTTTCGCTCGATCCTGAGCCCGCGGTGTCGCAATTATTCTTAGATTGATCGCATTTTGTGCATGGTAAGTTCTGTGTACGCACTTATTTTAATTATTTTATCAGTTTCAATTCCCATTCGACTATTCGTTTCTACAAAAGTCTGTTCATCTTGAACGACGTCCTGTTCTGTATAGAAATGCATAACGGTATCGCGTTATGATTTGAATCAGCCTCGCAGGCGAACGATGGCAATTTATTCGCGTCGGAAATGATCCAGCAATGAGAAATTTCCTTCATCAGACTTCCAGTTCATCTTGCACTAGTTCGCTGTCTAGAATTGTGATTGTTTTCATTTCAAGTGAAAGAAGAATTTTTTTAAAACAGTGGCAAGGATGTTACACCTACCTTGGACGGTTGATGATAATGAACATTCTAATCTAGTTGAGCACATGGTATGTTCATTAGTTTCATACTTGTTGGATTTAAAATTCTAACATAGTACTTTTTCCTAAACTTAATAATAATTTTCGTTTCTCGTTCATGAACGGGTCAAACTGCATACGCAATGACAATAAGGGCAAACAATTCCAGTTGTTGCGAATTTAGGATATCACAGTATAATTATTGTAACATATTCATGTGCCACTGTTCGCTCACTGTAGTATGTTTTAGCAACGGATATTTACTATTGCATATACACATTAAATAATGCGTTTTATGGGACTATGCATATTCAGTTTAATTAAACGAAAACTGCGATTGGATTGGATATTTACGTAATAAAATTAATTTTGTGTTTAATATGCGAACATATCAGAATAAAACACTCGTTGTTCGGGTTCGAGTGCACTAGTTTGTTATTTTTGAACTGTGATTAATTTTATATTAAATTATAACTATACATATATAATGTATAAAACTAACTTCTTAATTAATGATAAACAATAATAAATAAAATCACGTGAATTTCAATTTATTTCCATCTATTAAAATATATTCATGAATGCCTGTATCGACCGCTTATGCCCAATTTATGGAAAGACTTCCGAGTAAAGCTTGGCTTGAAAAATATTTCAAGTAAAACACAACAAGCGATAATGACAATTTGTTAAAGAGCAAGAATTTTCTCGAAGATCGTTAAGGATTATTTATGTCACCGTACAAGACTTGTTTATACTGCTCGTAAACTGATATTAAACGAATTTTAATTGCCATCCTTCACACGAGGAATCGGGTCAAATGATTCCGAAGCAATCCTTGCACATTGTTTAATTGCTACTAAACTTATCCATTAAATAAGATATTTAATTAGGTACTGTGATAAACTGTATTAACACATGTAGTAAATGTGTAAATGTTGTTTTCTAAGACCACATCATATAAAATAATTTGCGTAAAAATAAAGACAGGGTGTACACAATGTTGTGAAAAGCTTAATTGCAAATTAAATCTCAAAATATTAATTTCGGTCATTTTCGTACAAATCAACTTCAAATCGGAAGCTTGCTCTCTTCATTTGATTTATTAGTTATATTCGAGGATGTCGAAATGAAGAAGGAACCCTGGCTGAATACATTATCTGTCGTTATGCCGAGAAACGCTAATAGAAACAATCAACACACGCCAGGCGCCGCTTCAAGGACAATCAAATTCCACAAACCGCGCGTCCTTTTATTGACATAATAAATAATATAATTGAGCGAAAACGCTTTGGGTTCAGTGTCTATTTGTGCGTTTGTTTATGTACGCATTTCCTTTGTTTTGATGTAATTGTGGTAACTCAAACCTAAACTTAGAAGCTTTCAATGTACTGGACAAAGAGCTTTAAGTTGTTAAGCATGTACGAGTTGATGGAGAGAATTGCTTAATATGTTAATTCTAATTAAATTACTATTTGTAAATGAATCCGCATTTACCTTTATAATCTACAACTCTATTCTTGGAAAGCCTTCTATCCTAAACAACTATTTTTTGTTAAACTTTATAGCCTATAATATAAAACCGACCAACATCTTTTTAGGGTGATAAGTTTCACATCTCCCCGTGTGAATGTAAATCTTCAAGGTTTGTTTTTCTTATAAATGTAAACCACAAAACTCCACTAAGAAACAAGGTGGCGGCGGGCGTTTATTTGTTTGTTGAAATCCCAGCATGATAAGTAAAAAACTATCGCAAAACAAATGTTTGATGATGTTTTCGCCTCTAACGAAAAAATCTTGTGGGGATGTAAAAAGCCGAACGTACGAATCGTTATTTTTGCTTTCGTCTTGTTCTCGTCTTGACCGAGGAAACTTGTGGCTTCTACTTTATGAGATTTTTTTCAATAACAATATGATATAACACAGACATCTTGATATATGTTGCTGATATCGAGAGCATTCTGGTTTGGAAAATAAGACCTATATCGATGTGTTAAAAAGCCGCAGCGACCACAGTTTTGTATTTATGATCACAAACAAGAAACAATGGTAATTGTGATCCTTTTGAGCTTGCTGATACTCTATACACAAAGTCAAAACAGCAAAAAATAGATTGTCCACTGTTTGTTTTCTACATTCAGTAATTTAGATAATTCAACACGAGCATGACAAAGTTCAAATACATTAACATAATTTTTAATGGAAATATTTTTCTCAGTGTATTTGTTCAACTTATTGTTTCGTTAAACAATAGAATTCGTTTTAGACGTTCGACAGATTTACCCGAAATTCTTTAAATGCGTCGATGACGTGATTGCGCGACCGTGAATAACACAATAATAATCTATAAGCTAGAGAAGCACCGAACACAATTTGTTTTTATTCAATTCGCGCGAATTCTGCTGTGTTTGTTCTTCTCGTTATCAAATGTTTGCACTCATTGTACAAACTCCTCGACTGACTGTGTGCGGGATGATGAATGTTTCATACCTTCGTCTCCTTATATATAAGTGCTATAATGTTATGCAAAATATCAGCAAACATCAGCATTCCTGATTGTTTATAATGCTCTGTTATCGGGTGCCTCAAACATCGTTTCAGATTTAGCGGTATTATTAAGTTTACATGAAAATTGCGTTGCCGATTTTCTTTATGTAATCAATGTATATTGTATATAATATGTGTATTATAATATATTATTTATAAAGTCAATGATATTGATTTTATAGCAATACTTTTAATTGCTTGGAAAAATTCAAGTGATATTTTTTGTTACTGATTTAACACAACAGCATCCACCGCATGGTATTGAGCACGTTTCGGCCATACAAGAGCGCAAAGAATTTTCTTTCTTCTTTTTTCTTCGCATCAGACTACATTTTCTTTAACCCCAATAAAATATT